TTAGCTCAGCTCTCTCTCAATCTCTCAGCTCTAAGCTCTCTTAGCTCAGCTCTCTCTTAGTCTCCCAGCTCTCTCTCAGCTTTAAGCTCTCTTAGCTCAGCTCTCTCTCAGTCTCTCAACTCTTAGCTCTCTCAGGTGGCTCTTAGCTCTTTCAGCACACAGTTCTTGCAAATATCTCTCTGCTCTTCAAAGCTATATTATCTATCCCTCTCAAAGATATCTATGCTCTTCAAAGCTCTCTCAAATATCTCTCTGTTCTTCAAGCTCTCCCAGATCTCACTCTCTGCTATCATAGCTCCACTTTGCAACCCTCTCCGCTCTGCTCTTTAAAGTTTTCTCAGAACTCTCTCTGATATTTCAGGCTATTCCCGAATCTCTACTCTTCTAAAAGATACCTCTCAGTTCTCTCTCTCTCCGTTTCAAGTTTTCTTACTATGTCTGCAACAACCACTCTAACTGCAAACCACTTTCTATATAATCAACTCTCAGTCAGCTCTCCGATATCTTTCTGAAATCTCACGATACCCTTTCTGTAATTTCAGTATTCACTCTCTGTAATTTCACTATTCACCCTCTGTAATTTCACTATTCACTCTCTGTAACTATTCACTCTATGTAATTTCACTATTCACTCTCTGCCACTTCACTGTAACCTTACTACTGTATATCGGGTTGTATATCGGGTGGTGTATCTAGCCACACCGAGTTTCTTTTGCGAGATTGTAAAGTTTCTTAATGTGTGATTGTAACCTGAACACTCTACCGAGCTACTGCCCAGAAGAGTGGAAGTTCTCTTCTAGTTATTGCAAGTGTCTTATGTGAGTATATTATTTTTACCTTATGCAAGTTAAATTAATACTCTGTTTAAAAGTTTGAAACGTTACATACGTTAATTGGTTTGTTATTGATATATCTCCCGTATTACTGCTTATCTGTTTAGTTGTTTATTTACTCGTAAAGTTTGTGTACTAACTACTAAATATAGTAGAAAATAGTTGCTCAGAATAGATCTTGGTGTACTTTGGTATCGTATATTTCTAAATTTGATTTAAAGCCTGGATACTGGCAAATCCAAATTGCAGAAAAAGATAAATATAAAACTGCCTTCAATGTCCCCTTCGGACAATATGAATGGAACGTGATGCCCTTTGGGCTGAAGAATGCTCCATCAGAATTCCAAAATATTATGACTAATATTTTTAATCCTTATATGAAATTCATGATAGTTTATATTGATGATGTTTTAATATTTTCTGAAAGTATCGAGCAGCATTTCAAACATTTAAATATTTTTATCAAAGCAATAAAAGTTGCAGGACCGGTGGTCTCAACCTGAAAGATTAGCCTCTGTATACATATATATATATATATATATATATATATATATATATATAGTATAGAGATAACTACTAACTACTACTACCTACTAACGTAGTAAGATA